CTCTATATTCTTATCTATATAATCTATCTATATCTTCTCTCTCTTTATCTCTATTATATATATATATCTATAGTCCTATATATTTCTATTACGATATATCTATATACTATCATACTATACTACTCTATATATATATATTTATATATATTATAAATCAGGCGCGAAAAATCCCACTTCCGCCGTCTTTGACAGTGTAAACTTGTGTAGGCAAGTAAATGTTTACCTCGCTTGTCGCATGGACGAGTAAATTTCCAATAGATTTTTCCCTACAATTATAGAATCTAGCAAGGTTCCTAGTTCCTTTTCGTTCTATGATTATGAGGCTGCCATATTTGTTTATCTTAGTTTCATATATTCGTTATTTATTTATTTTCGATATATCACAGTTGATAAATTTCTTTATGATATCTATCTATATATATATCTATAATAAAAAATATATATATATTATATTCTATATATATATATATATAAAATATTTCAGACAAGTAGTATTCAGAAATGACAGTGGAAGTCAGTGTACTTGTCCTCCTGGTACAAGTTGAAAAAAAAAAAGATTTTTCGCAGCCTGACTTATTAAGATATTTATATATATCTATTATTATATATTATATATACGATAGCATATATTATATATATATATATATATATATATGCCTATATACTATTATATATATATAAATTGCATATATATATATATATCTATTATATACATCTTATATATATATATATATATATATATATATATATATATAGTATAATATATCTTCTATAATAGTCTCTGATATATATCTCTTATATATATCTCTTATATGCTATCTCTTTTATATATTATATATCTATATATATGTATAATATATATATATATATATATATATACTTATATATAATATATTATATATATATATATTATAATATATATTAATATATATCTATAATTATCGTATGTATATATAGATATATATCTATATTATTATATATATCTCATAATTATATATGATATAATTCTATATATTATTATATAATTCATATTATATATCTAGTTCTATATATATCTTCTATCTCTATCTAATATATCTATATATACATTAATATTCTATATATATATATATCTATCTTCTATTTTATATATATTAGCTTATCTGTTATATATATATATATCTCTCTCTATACTATCATATACTATTCTGATATTCTCTATCTATCTATATATCTTTCTATCTTATCTATCTAGTATAAATATATCTATCTATCTATATGTAATCTATATCTCTTTATTAGATCATATCTCTCATCTCTATAGATCTATATCTCTCTTATATATCTATATTCTATATATCTTTATATATTAATTATATATCTATATATCTATATCTATAATTTATATATATCTATATATATATATCTAAATATTTCAGACAGGGGAGTAGTATTTCAGAAAAGGACGAGTGAAAGTCAGGTGTACTTGTCCTCCTGGACAAGTGAAAAAAAAAAAAAATTTCAGGGGGGGGGGGGGGGGGGGACAAGCCTGATTATTATAGATATATATAATATTATATATATATTATCTATATATCTATATTATATCTATATATATATATCTTATCTAGTTATTATATTATATAATTATCTATATATATCATTATATAATCTATTATATCATATTCTTATTTATACTCATTATCTTATATATCTCTATTATATATTATATATCTATATATATTCTAATTATAATATATATTATTATATATCTCTCTTATCTATCTCTTATATATATCTCTTATAATATCTCTTATATATATCTCTTATATAGATATATATATATTATATTATATATATAATATAGTATATATATTATATGATATATATATATATATATATTATAACTCTATTATATTATTTATATATATATTAGATATCTTACAAATTTCATATATATATTAGATATATATTAAAATATATTCTATATATATATATTATCATATATATTATATAGTTATATTATATATTATATATATATTATATTATAATAATATTTTTTTTTTTTTTTTTTTTTTTTTTTTTTTATATACTATTATATATTTTGTATGTATGTATGTCTGTATATATATGTGAGGGGGCTCTTCAAGTTTTGTGGAAAAAGTCCATAAACTAAAAATATTCTTGTACCAACCATGTTATATGTTTCAAATTGAACCCGTAATGTAGGTAATAATGCATTACCACCTGTTGCAAGTCAGGTACCATTCAAGCAACATGGAGTCCACCAAAGTTGTGGTGAGGACAAACATTAAATTCACGGTGAAACTCAATTGGGAGAATAGGCAAATCATTGACACTCTGGAGCATGTTTATGGTGACAATGCCCCAAAGAAATCAACAACCTACAAATGGATAAATCGGTTCAGAAGTGGAAGAAACGAAATTGAAGATGAGCCCCATAGTGGCAGTCTATTAGCATCAGTTTGTGAGGAAGACATTGATGCTGTTCGTGACATGATTGTAAAGGATAGACAAATAGCCACTGAATCTGTAGCAGACACACTCAACATTTCTATGGGTTCTGCACACAATTCTGGTGGAGAGTTGGGGCTAAGCAAGCTTTCAACTCGATGGGTCCCTAGGCTGTTGCGCCCAGATTTTGAACAATTGGGATGAGGACTCTGAATATTTTCTGCAGAGAATTGTGACGGGATGAAACATGGCTCTACCAGTACGATACTGAGGACAAAATTCAGTCAAAACAGTGGCTGCCCAGAGGATGGAGGTGGACAAATCAAAGTAAAATGTGAGCATTTAAGAGGATAGGTCATGGCCACTGGCTTCTGGGATGCAGAGGGGATTTTGCTGGTTGACTTCCTTGTGAGTAAGAAAACAATTCCATCTGCTTATTATGATGGCTTTTATGAGAAAACTGTCCAAAAAAATCTCAGAAAAACACAGTAGAAAGCTGCATCAACACGTTCTCTTCCATCACAACAATGCACCCACTTATAGCGTTCGGCAGACAAGAGCTGTGCTACATGAATTACAATAGGAAATCGTCCGACATCCACCTTGCCACCCTAATTTAACCACATCTAAAACTTCCCCCCCCCCCTTTTTTCCAAACTTAAAAAAATAATTGAAAGGTATAAATTTTCTATCAGTTGAAGACATAAAAAGAGTTGCTCTGATGTGGTTCAGGTCACATGACAGTCTGTTTTACTCAGACGGACTTAACCAATTCGCCACACATGGCAAGAATAGATGCCATACCCACTTTGAGACACGTTTATTTTATTTTTTTATTTGTAATTTTACACATAGATGGCTCCACAAGTTCTTAATCACCAAACGCGTTATCAGAACTACCTATTTACCTGTTTATACAACCTTTTCCTTCACTTATTAGGAAAGGTTTTTGTATCATTTCATTGTCTAAATATTCTATGCTTATTTAATATCACAACTCGTAACATAAGTACAGTATCGAACAATGCATTAATTTTCCCGCCAATTCAATGAATGGGAAAATCCGGGTCCCGTAACAGGGCCTACTATAGACTCCTTGCCGCTGAGTACATGTGTAACCATCTGCATGTGACAAAATTCAACACAAATCTTACAGAGGACAAAACGTAAATATCCGGGCGATGGTTAAGACTGTATCATGTGTATGACCTTACTGGACATATGCTGAAAAATAAGCCTATTTTTTCATACTGTTCTTTTTTTCCAGAAACTTTTTCAGCCCCAATGTATATGTAAATTCAATACATGTTTCTGTATAATATATAGGTAGATATATATATATATATATATATATATAATATATATATATATATATACCTATATGATATATATATTATATATATATATATACATATATCTGTTGTATATTTATTTCTATATATATATAAATCTGTGTGTGTATTTATCTCGTGTATTCTATCTTAATCATCTATATGTCTTGTATGTTTGCTTATATATATATAATCTATATATCGTCTCTATATATCTTCTATATATTGTATAGTCTAATCTATCATATTGTATACCAGCTATCCCTCTCTCTCCATTATATATCTATACATCTTATCTCCTACTATACTATATTATATTATATCTAGCCTATATTCTATATTCTCTCTATATCTCTATATATACCTCTATTATTCTCATCTATCTATATCCATATATATTATATATATACTATATATATTTCTATATCGTACTTTATATATCTCTCTAATATTATATATATATACATTATATATGATATTTGCATATATATATATAATTTCATTTCTATATATGTATCATATCATATGTGTATATGTATATACGGTTTATATATCTATATAATATTAGTATTATATATATATATATATATATGTATATATATATCTCTGCTGTGTGTGTGTGTGTGTGTGTGTGTGTGTGTATAATGTATATATCTATATATATATATATATATATATCTATATATAATATGACTATCCTACCTCTATATATACATACTCTAACTATATATCTATCTATTATATATATTATTATAATATTATCTATCTATATATATGATAATAATACACTCTACATTATATAATACAACATATACATATATCTATAATCTATTCTTTCTAATATATATCTATAATATATTAGCTATATCATTATACAAACATATATCCATATATTATATATAATTATATGCATAAAGTGAATATCTTCCAATACAAGAATGCTTTAACTGTTTCAATTCTATCTTTCTCCAAAATACAATACATCCTACAAACTACATAGCATTTATATATCAGGAGACTGAGCGACGAACACCTGAATGACTGTGACCTCTCCATTTGTTATCCACTTTTATGTCTGTGTGTGGTGTGGTGTATGTGTGTGTGTGTATGTGGGGTGTGTGTGTGTGTATGTGGTGTGTGTGTGTGTTGTGTGTGGTCTGTGTCTGTGTGTGTGTATGATAAACATGAAGCTAATTTTCTTGTTATTTTCTCCAGGTTAATGGATCAAGAATTAAAGGTTGGTGGAGAGCCCATCACTTCATCTCTACAGTACTCTCTGGCATCTTACTTATCTGGCCCAATGGAGAAACCTACTATGCCTTCCGCAAGCAGTTTATGATGTTTAACATGTACATCAGTAAGTACTTTTATAACAGGCATTGTTAATTTTAGATTTTAAATATATATATGTATATATATAATAATGATATATATCTAGTATAATATAATATAATATATATATATATATATATACATATTTTTTTTTTTTTTTACATAGATTTATTATATATCTACTGTCATATATTATATATATATAATATATATATGTATATATAATATATGTTCTATCATAGCCTATATATATATATATCTATTAATATCTTATTGTATACATATATATATATATATCCATATTATATATATATATATATCCATCATTATATATATATTATAATATTATTTATACTATATATCTATATATATATATCACATACTTCTATATACTATATTACATATTATATCTATATCCATATTATATATATATATATCTCATTTATATATATCTTGTCTACATATTATATCATAGATATATTATCTCTATCTATCTATAATGCTCTATATATTATTATATACTATTATATATATATTATCTATCTATATCATAGCTCTATATATATCATCTATACCATATTATCTATATATCCCTTTATATATATTTCTCTATATCTATATCGATCTCTCTCTATCCTTCGCTATCTTATATCTATATATATACCTATCTATCTCTATCTACATATATAATTTCTTTATCTATATATCTATATCTCTATCTATTATATCTCTATAACTATATCTACCTATCTATCCCTATATATTATATATCTATCTATATATATATATCTAATCTATATATTATTCGTATAATATATATCTCTATATTATATATACATATTTCTATATATATATATATCATCATATCGATATTTATCTATCTATATGATTCTATTATATATATGCATACGATTTATATATTTATTTATATATATATATCTACATCTATTCTATCTATATATCTATCTATCTTACTCTTCTCTAATCCTAGCTTTAATCTATATCTCCACTACATTTTCTCTCTTTTATTCTCTATATATCTATACCTCTCTCTATCCTATATATTACATATACCTCTCTATAGCTATTCTCGATATATATACGATATCTCTCTATATATCTATCTCTATCTCCATATCTATCTCTCGATTCTATATCTCTCTCCTAGATTCTATCGCCTCGTCCTCTATATATGCTAATCCATATTATATATCTAATCTATCTATACCTTATCTTTCTCTACTATATATATATAATATCTATATATATATATCAGCTCCATATTATATATCTATATATATATATATCTTCTATCTATATATCTTATCTATTATATCTATCTATAATCTACCTGTTATTATACTATCCTATCTCGCTATAGCTATATCTATTAATACTGTTCTATATATATATCTCTCTATATCTATTATATCTATTATATATATCTACTCTATATATCTATATAGCCTGTTATATATATATTAACATAGATATATTACATGTTATCTATCTCTCTGATTATAAACTTAACATTTACAATTTATCTATATCTATCTCTCTATATATTACATGTTCTATATATTTTTTTTTTTATTTTTTTTTTTTTATATCTATAGATATACATGTTTATATATATATATATACAATCTATATATTATATCTCTCTCTGGTATATTATCTCTATTTATCTATATCTATTATAATGTTATATATCATCTATATAGCTATATACGATATATATATATATAGCTATCTATTCTTATATATATCTATATATATACATAGTATCTATAGCTATATATATCTATCTAATATCATTTATACACACCTTTTAAAAAAAATATATATATATATCTATATATTCATATACATATTATATATGTATCGCTTATATACATCTTATATATCTCTCTATATAATACATAAATTATATATATATATATCTATATATCTCTTATCTATATATAATCTATAGTTAATATCTATTATACTTATCCCTCTTCGATCTATATATATATATATAGATATATATATATATATATATATAGATCTATCCATTTATATCTCTAGTATCAGATATATACATATATATATATCTATTACTTTTATATGTTATATTATATATCATATTATATATGTATTATATGATCATCCATATATATATGTATATATATATATATACATATTATATATGGTATCTATATATCTACATTTTATATTATTATAATCGACATATTATATATGTCAGATATATATATACATGTATATATGTATCTATATATCTACATATTTATATATTATATATATAGATATATATATATATATATATATTATATATATATAATATAGTATAATATATACATACATATGTATAGATTATATTATATATATATATATATATATATATATATAATATATATATACTATCTATTCATATCATATATATATACTTATATATATATATATTATCTACCTATATATCTATTATCTATCTTCTGTATTACTATCTCGATATTGTATTATATATCTTTATATATATTATATATATATTCTATTATTATTTATATTATATAATAATATCTTATAATTATTTATAGATATTATATTATATTCTATATATTATATATATCTTATCTATATATTCTATAATTTTATATATATCTATATATTACTATATATATATATATATATATATATATATATATATATATTAGATATATTGAATATCTATGATATATATGAAATATATGTAATATGAAGATCTATATATATAATCTATATAATATATATAAATAGTCCTATATGATATCTATGATATTATCTATATATATATCTATATATCTGATATATATATATGCTATATACTCACTATAATATCTCTGATCATATCTAAATATATATAATATATATATATCTATATATATATAATATTATATTTATATATCTATATCTAAATATTTAGATTATATATATTCTATATTATCTTTATATATATCATATATTTCTATGTATTATATATATCTAGTTTATATATTTCAATATTCATTACTATAATTACATATTTCATAATTATTATAGATTCTATTTATCTCTTCTCTATTATCTTTATCATATCTATGTATACTTCTGATTTAGATATATCGGTATACGATTCTATTTATATTCTCTGTATCTTATATTTCATATCTCTCTATCTATAGCTAGATATATCTATATACTATATTCCTATATATATATTCTTTCTACTTATTATATCATATATTCCCTATTTCTATCTATCTCTATTATCTTTATATATATATATACATTATCTTTATATCTCTATCTCTATCTCTATATTTTTTCTATATTGCTATATAGTATTCTCTATCTATATCTCTCTCTATGATCTACTTTCTATTCTCTATCATAATCTCTATCATATATCTATATATATATCTCTATCCTGCTATATATATCTCTATACTATACTCTAATATCTCTATATCGATATCTTCTTACCCATATAATATCTATATATATCATATCATATACATATATATCTCGCTAATCTAATATATCTCCTATTAACCTCTCATCTTAAGAGATATAACTATCCGTCTTCTATCTATATATCTACTCTATCATATATATCTCTAGGCTATATATCTCATATCTATATACCATATATATCCATCGCTAGATCACCTAAAATCCAATTATACATAGCTCTACTAAATATCATTACCTATATATCTCCATATACTATATATATATATAAATATTATCAGATCATAATATATAACTATAGTATTCTTATATCATCATCTAACATATTATCTATATCTAATCAATATATATATATATCTAAATATAATATATGATATATCATCTAAATATACTTAATTTATATATATCAATATACATCTATATATACTATATTTATATATATCTATATATAGATAATAATATATATCCTATTCGTATATATCATATATATCATATATATATATCATATATATCATATATTATATCATATATAGCAATATTATCATATATGTTTTTATTACATATATTATAATATATATATATATATATAATAGTATATCTATATAATCATTTTCTATATATCAGATATAGCATATATGATATATTATATATATCTATTTTATATATATGACGTCTATATATATATATATATATATATCTTATATATATATTATATAATATATTTATAATATATTATATAATATATATAATATATATATAATTATATAATCTATCTAATTATATTCTATATATATATATATTATAATATATATATAATATAGATATAAAATATATATATCATCATTATATATATACATATCTTATATTCATTCTATATATATATATAATATATATATATATATTATATATATATATATACGAATAGATATATATATATATATATATCTTATATATATATATTATATATATTAATATATAATTATGTATGATTATATATATATATATAATATATATATTATATATATTCTATATAGATATATATATATAATATAGATATAATATGTAATCTATATAGGTATACATTATAATTGTTTATATATCATATATACATATATAATATGGATATATTATAATACATCTTAATATGTCTATATAATATACTAATTAAATATGTATATATATATATATCCATCATATACTATGTATATATCTATATACCTTATCTATGTATATATCTATATATACCATATATAATATGTCTATATATATATCTTCTGTCTACTATCATAAATCTAACGTATATATACTTGTATGTCGATTAGTATATATATATATATCTCTATATATATATAATATATAATATCTATATGTATATATATATATATATATACTATATATATATATATATACATATATATATTATCATATCTATTATCTATTCTATCATCTGTCTCTATATCGATATATCTATTAATATGTACTATATAGATACATAATCTCTATTTATATTAGTAATATCTCATATATATATCTCTATGTATACTTCTTATCTGCATCTATATATCACTCTGTCTATCTCTAGATTCTCTTATCATCTATTCTATTCTAATCTCTCTATATATATCTCTATTCTATATATAACATGTATCTCTCATATATATATATCATCATAATAATACTAACTACTATATCTTCTATTTCATCTCTATATACTATCTATTATATAACATGTATATACTATATCTCCTCATCTATAACCTGTCTCTATCTCTTATATATATATCTCTCTATATATCTATATATATATATATATCCCATGTGATATATTATATATATATATACCATGTTATATATATATATTAGATTAGTCATCTATATATATATCTATATATCATATCTATTATATATATATAACATGTTCTAATATATCTATATCTATATATAGATATATTCTAACATGTATATATATCTATATCTATTCTCTTATTTATTATCTAGTCTTTATATCTCTGTATATATCTATACTATGTTATCTATCAATTATTATCTATCTTATATCTATATATATAGATATATAGATTTCATATCTTTATATATAAATCTGTATATATCCTATATCTAATATGTATTCTATATTATATATTATAATTCATATATCCTATATAGGATGTATCTATATTCATATATATATCTATCTATATACATCATATCTATCTCTCTTCATCTCTATCTCTCTGTATCTGGTCTCTTATATCTATCTCGTCTCTATGTCTGTCTCTATCTCTCCTCCATCTCTAAATATGTTCTGTCTCTATTCTCTCTCTCTCTCTCATCTCTCTCTCCTCTCTCTTGCTCTCTTCTCTTATCTTCTTCTTCCCCCCTTGGGTTTCCACCTCGCCTCTCTATCTATCCCTCTCTCCCTCCTGTCTGTCTCTCTATATCTCTCTTCATCCTTCTCTATTCTCTCTTCTCGCTTCTCTCTCTCTACTCTCATCTTCTTATATCTTCTCTCTTACTATCTCTCTCTCTATCTCTCCTCTCTCTACTTCTCTCTATCATATCGCTCATCTTCTTCTCTCCTGTCATCTCTCTCTATCTTCTCTCTTCTCTCTCTATATTCTCTCTCTCTCTCTCCTCTCTATCCTATCTTTCTATCTCTTCTCTCTCTGTCTCTCTCTCTCTATCTCGCTCTCTCTATCTCTCTCTCTCTATCTCTCTATCTCTCTCTCTCCCTGTATCGCTCTCTCCTAGGTCTCTCTCGCTCTCTCTCTCTCTCTATCTCTCTCTCTCTCTCTCTCTCCTACTGTATCTTCTCTCCTCTCTCTCTCTCTCTCTCTCATAATTCCAGACTACTCATTCTCTCCATATCTCCTTCTAGTCTCTCTTCATATCTCTCTCATCTGTATCTCTCTCTCTCTACTCCTAGTCTTCTCTCTCCTCTGTCTACTCTCTCTTCTCACTACTGTCTATCTCATATCTATCTCTCTCTACTCTCTCTACTTGTCTCTATATCTTCTCGCAATCTGTACTATCCTATACTCTACTCTCTGTCATATCTCTCTCTAATATGTGCTTAGCTCTCTAGCTCTCTATCTATACTATATATCTATCTATCGTATCTATCTATCTCTATACATCTATTCTCTCTATCTATATATCTCTCTACTATATCTATAATAATATCTACATATGTATATATATCTCTCTCTCTCTGTCTACTCTCAATATTCTATCTCTATCTCTCTCTAGCATCTATCTCTATCTATTTCAAATCTAAATTCACATGCCTTTATAAAAGTTATTACTGATGTACATGTTAAACATCCATAAACTGGCTTGCGGAAGGCATATTAGGTTTCTCCATTGGCCAGATAGTCAGATGCCGAGAGTACTGTAGAGTAAATTGATGGGCTCTCCACCAACTTTATTCTTGATCCATTAACCTGGAGAAAATAACAAGAAATTAGTCTTTCATGTGTACATACCACACACAAGACACAGACACACACACACACACCCACACACACATACACACACACACACACACATACACCACACGACTACACACGACACCACAGACTACAAGTGGATAAACAAATGGGAGGTCACAGTTCCTCAGGGTTTCGTCCTCACGTCTGATAATATAAATGCTATGTAGGTTGTCTGATGTATGTATTGTTTGGAAAGATGCATTGAGAAACCGTTAATGCATTCTTTGATTGGGAAGATATTCACTCTTATGCTATTAATATATATAGTAATATATGTATATCATATGTATATGTATATATATAATATCTATATATATATATAATATATATATATATAGATATATATAGTGGTATATTTTTATATATAAATGTATATGTGTATACAGATATTATATATTATATATATATATTATATAAATAGATATATAGATATATATATATAGCTTATGTATATTATATATAAGTAATATATATATATATAATATATAATATATATATATATTGATACCATTATACACCACACACACACACACACACCACACACATATATATATATATATATATATATATATAGAATATTATATATATATAGTAATATATATTATATATACCTTTTATAAATACATATACACATATAGATACCTACTATATAAGAAAGGAATATATATATATTGTAAATATATATATATATATGTATATATATATATATCGTATATATATATATATATATGTATATATAATATATATATGTCATATATTTATATATATGTATAGATGATATATATCTATCTATATGTATATATAGATAATATATATCTATATATATCTCTATATATCATATATATATCTATATCGTATATATAGGTATATATATTGTATCTATATTATGTATATATATGTATATATATGTCTATATATATATATATTATATATCTATATTATATCTATATATCTATCTATATATATATATTATATATATATCAGCACACATACATTACCATATATATATTATATATATATAACCTATGATACATATACACACACATATATTATATATAGAAAAATAAATATACATACATATATAATTTATATATATCTTATATATATATATTCTAATATATATATATTATATATATAATATATATATATATATATATTATACATATATATATATACAGACACATGTATATGAATTACATATACATGGGGGCTTGAAAAAGTTTCTGGAAAAAGAACAGTATGAAAAAAGGTTATTTTTCAGCATATGTCCAGTAAGGTCAATACACATTGATACCAGTCTTTAACCCATTCGCCCCGGATTTACGTTTTGTCCTCTGTAGATTTTGGTGAATTTTGTTACATGCAGATGGTTCCACATGTACTCAGCCGGCAAGGAGTCTATTGCAGTAAGGCCCTTGTTACCGGACCCTGATTTCCCCATTCATTGAATTTGTCGGGAAAATTAATAGCATTGTTTTATCGATACTGTTTATTATTGTTCTGATGTTTTGATTACTAAATAGCCATTAGAATATTTTTAGACAATGAAATGATACAAAAAAAAAACCTTTCCTAAAGTGAAGGAAAAAGGGTAAACAGGTAAATAGGTAGT